TTGGAGCCTTCCCTTCGAGCTTATGTGTGATGCTAGTGACTATGTAGTGGGGGCGGTGTTGGGACAAAGGTGGGGTAGGCATTTTCTGCACATCTGCTATGCTTCAAAGATGTTGAATGATGCTCAAGAGAATTATGCGACTACTAAAAAAGAGTTGTTGGCAGTAATATTTGCTTTTGACAAGTTCATGTCTTACCTTGTGCTTTCAAAAGTTATTGTCTACATTGACCACTCAGCCATTCGCTTCTTGATGAGCAAGGCCAATGCCAAGCCCCGCCTAATCCGATGGATCCTACTTCTTCAAGAGTTTGATGTGGAGATTAAAGACAAAAAGGGAGCCAAAACTCTTGCAGCGAATCATCCCTCGCGTCTCCAAAGACCGGGCGAGAGCACCTCCCAAAGAGAGATAAATGACACTTTCCCCGATGAACGGTTGTTCGTGCTTGCCACTTGACTCTCTAAAACACAACTCCTAACAATGGCCAAGTGTAACCAATGAAAGGGACTGCAGTATAGTGGCTCAAGTAATAAATATCGAATCCACGGGTCTCTAGAGTTACTATTACTCAGCTTCAGTTCATTATCTAGCAAAACAGATTAAGATGAAAGAACTAAAACTACTCTAGCAAACTACAGTTAAAGTTAATCTAATTACAGGTTGGGAACTCACTTAGGTATGATTCCCCCTAGCCACTAGCCAGATTAATGATTGATGATCTCTAACCTGTTTCACTTTCATTCACAATGCGGAGAATCCTTGACTAGACCTTGAGTCTCGACTAAAGGAACAAGGCCCTCTTGAGTCAATTGCCTAGAGGGACGTATCCTTCTCTAGAACAACTGATCAAGGCGTTCTGAACTAGACTCCCTCTATCGAAAGAGGTTCTCAATCGATACAAAGCGGTGAATCAACCCTCGACTAAAGCAATCGATCCACTACTATCAATCTATGGTGCTCTATTGACCTAATCAGGTATTCCCTCTCATAGAATCAAAGCAGAATCAATAATCTCGACTAAAGCAGAATTGAATCATGAAAACATGCATAGATTGAATATGAACTCAAGATTATCCAGTCAGAGTACTCATACAATCATCCAATCAAACAAACATAGCTAGGGTTCCTCAAAACCTAAGTGAAGGGAAGTTACTCCATAGAGAAGAGAGAGACTGCAGTAAGAATCTTCAGATGATCAGTCTTCAAGTCCGGGCTTGTTCCTCGAGCTTCCAAGGCGAAGAAATCCTCCAACTCCACTCCAAGAATGCCCTCAAATCGCCCTCTCTCTCTCTTTGGTTCGTCCCTTGGGTGTTTGGGATCCAAAACCCAGCTCCCCCTCTTCTTTGGTTCGGAATTTGGCTTAAAACCAGGAAATCCCGACTCGCACGGCCAGGGTGCACGGCCGTGCATATCACCATTCTGGCCGTGCAACTCAAAACGCAGCGTGTCATTAAGTCGAACTTCAGCCCTCTCGCACGGCCAGGGTGCACGGCCGTGCATATCACCATTCTGGCCGTGCAACTCGCTCAGCCTCTGTTTAATGCTTCGTTTCAACCTCGTCCGGACTCCGAATCAATCGCCGTTTGATCCCAGACGCTCGTAGTCTCGTCCTCTTTCGTTTCATAACAAGCTTGCATGCTTCTTTGTCCATAAAGTGAGGTAGAAATCCATTCTTCTTCAGGTCATGCCCGAGTTTCCTCTCTCGAATCGTCAATTGATCTCTGATTGACTTGAAACTTGCGCCTATGCTTCACTTTATGTGCTAGGACCTGAAATGGGACAAAGGGACACAACCTAGCATAAAATAGGCCACAACACACGAATATGCCCCTCAAACGGATAAGAACTAGGGGCGCAAACATGTGCAATTACATCGTTATCAAACTCCCCCACACTTAACCGTTTGCTTGTCCCCAAGCAAACCTAACTCAAACCAATGCAACTCTCCAGACCTCTATAGCAACAAACAACCTAGATCGTAGGTAGAGGACTTCCTAGATCATATAGCAGCTTACGAGGTCAACCGACGCACAAGTCATCTCATAGCTTCTTCGGTCAGTCGGCATCATGGCAAACAGTGAACAGAGGACAAATGAATTGTGGATGAAGAGATTCTCAAAAACAAAGGATCATGGACTCACATTTTTCAAGGTGCTCTATTTTCTGCTTAAAGATGGTTGGAACCCTTTTTTTTTTCTGTTTTGCTTGTTTTCTGTTATTTTTCTTTTCTTTTTTTTTCTTTTCAAGGGTCCCAACCTGCTCTTACCGGCCATGCCAGGAGCGGATGTCTCGAGCCTCGTGCGGGGGAAAGACATGTAAGGGGGCTGGAGGTAGTAGGTGGAAATTGGAACGGATTCCCGTCTCCCCTTACACACTTTCGCCCTATTCGCACGGGAGACGTTATTTTGAAGCACATTTTCGAGCACCTGTTAAACTCAAAACATGATACAAGAGTCCATGACAGGCAGAGAAACCACAACACCACACAATTCAAGGGTCCTAAGATCACTAATTCACTCAATCAACCAACACAATATGAAGAAGAAACGAGACTTCTTAAATGCATCAACATCCTCCATAGTGCTACACTACCTCCCTAGGTTGCATATTACTATAAAGACTGTCAATTCAAAGCATACTGAGCAGGCGATTGCAAGGAAACACGTACTTGGAGCCCTCAAGTTTAAAAATTTGGACAGTGGACTAGGCTCCAAGCACACAAACAGCCAAACATTCACCCGCATACATAATCGAACACCCCCCCACACTTAAGCACGACATTGTCCTCAATGGAGGAAAGATAAGGAGGGTTGAACGAAGTTACCAGATCAAGGGTGAATGATGATGTACGGGTCAGGCAGTGCAGTCCAGGAAGAGAGAGTAATCAGAACACAAACACCACACAAAATCTCACAAAGGTTGAGTTATTGACTCTAAAATCAAATAACAAAACTGACTCAACCGAGGAGAAATAGAGAAAGAAATGCAAACCGACTGGTTGGGTTGCCTCCCAACAAGCGCTTCTTTCACGTCGTGAGCCGGACGATGGCTCCTAAGTTTCGGTCCATGCGAGAACCTCCTTGAAGTTGAGGTTCTCGTCGATGAGGTGGAGTCTCAAGTCATGAGCATGTGATGTGGCAGGTGATGAAGGCTCATGTACTTGATGCAGATGAAGTCTCCACCCTCGAGACCTCTTCTTCTCTTCTCTCGTCTCATTGCCCCAAACCAGATATGACAACATCGGTTGGCCACCATCGCGTCCACCAAGAGGGACCGATGTCGAGGTGGCCTTGGTCTGGCAAAGAGACACTGCAAATGGGTCCTTGCTAAGCAGTTCCTCGAGGTTTGGTGGAGATATCACATGTAACTCATGGCCAGTGCAGGCCTCTTCCACCTTAACTCCATCCTCAGCCTGGACGCCAATTGCTTCTTCAACCTCCCTTCCTTCTTCATGTGGTATCACCCCTGGGAAATGATCAAGAACTCCTCCTGCTTCACTTTCGTCATCCTCCACAACTTCTTTCTGCACCCTTTCTTGCTCTTCTTCTTCTAGCACGGATTGGAGAGCAAGTTGCCAAGCAATTTCTTTCATGAGATCTTTTTGCATCTCCTCACTCATGCCCGCCTCTTCAAAGCTCAGTTTGGGGTGTGGGAAGGTTTGGTCGGCTACGATAGGACACTCCTGATCATGATCATCACGGGAGCTCTCCGTGACAACTTCAGTGTGCTCCACAATGTCCTTGTAGCCTTCTTCTTCCTCCTCATCTTCTTGTATGGTAGCAGAAGGGTGATCTGGAGCAGGTTGCGCCCAAGATCGCTCAAGATCATCGACGCTCTTCTTAAGGCTCAGGAGGATCTCATCTGTTTCACGATAGGCCTGGACACACTGATCCATCCTGGAGCATGTTCTCTCACAGTCTCGAGCATACTGCTCCATGAGTAACTCCAGTGCCGATGGCCCTTCTGGTTGTGGGAGAAATTCTTCTTGATAATGAGGTTGTTCTTGATATGCCCAGGGGTCCGGTTGTTCTCCGTAGTAAGGGGGTTGGTACTGGAACCCGAATCCATAGTCTTCTCCGCCTTGATTGCTCCAGGGAGTCTCGGGGTAATACCACCCAGATGGTGGTGGATACCCCCAATGATTGGAGAAGCCATGAGGATCCATGATTCAGATCTGCACCAACAAAATCAAAAACACCCAAGTGAAAAGCAAGGGTGGAAAAGAAAAGAAACGAAAAACGCTAAAGTAACAAACTTCTGCCTTTCCTAATACTCTAGAAAGTCCCCGGCAACGGCGCCAAAAACTTGACTCTCTAAAACACAACTCCTAACAATGGCCAAGTGTAACCAATGAAAGGGACTGCAGTATAGTGGCTCAAGTAATAAATATCGAATCCACGGGTCTCTAGAGTTACTATTACTCAGCTTCAGTTCATTATCTAGCAAAACAGATTAAGATGAAAGAACTAAAACTACTCTAGCAAACTACAGTTAAAGTTAATCTAATTACAGGTTGGGAACTCACTTAGGTATGATTCCCCCTAGCCACTAGCCAGATTAATGATTGATGATCTCTAACCTGTTTCACTTTCATTCACAATGCGGAGAATCCTTGACTAGACCTTGAGTCTCGACTAAAGGAACAAGGCCCTCTTGAGTCAATTGCCTAGAGGGACGTATCCTTCTCTAGAACAACTGATCAAGGCGTTCTGAACTAGACTCCCTCTATCGAAAGAGGTTCTCAATCGATACAAAGCGGTGAATCAACCCTCGACTAAAGCAATCGATCCACTACTATCAATCTATGGTGCTCTATTGACCTAATCAGGTATTCCCTCTCATAGAATCAAAGCAGAATCAATAATCTCGACTAAAGCAGAATTGAATCATGAAAACATGCATAGATTGAATATGAACTCAAGATTATCCAGTCAGAGTACTCATACAATCATCCAATCAAACAAACATAGCTAGGGTTCCTCAAAACCTAAGTGAAGGGAAGTTACTCCATAGAGAAGAGAGAGACTGCAGTAAGAATCTTCAGATGATCAGTCTTCAAGTCCGGGCTTGTTCCTCGAGCTTCCAAGGCGAAGAAATCCTCCAACTCCACTCCAAGAATGCCCTCAAATCGCCCTCTCTCTCTCTTTGGTTCGTCCCTTGGGTGTTTGGGATCCAAAACCCAGCTCCCCCTCTTCTTTGGTTCGGAATTTGGCTTAAAACCAGGAAATCCCGACTCGCATGGCCAGGGTGCACGGCCGTGCATATCACCATTCTGGCCGTGCAACTCAAAACGCAGCGTGTCATTAAGTCGAACTTCAGCCCTCTCGCACGGCCAGGGTGCACGGCCGTGCATATCACCATTCTGGCCGTGCAACTCGCTCAGCCTCTGTTTAATGCTTCGTTTCTCCCTCGTCCGGACTCCGAATCAATCGCCGTTTGATCCCAGACGCTCGTAGTCTCGTCCTCTTTCGTTTCATAACAAGCTTGCATGCTTCTTTGTCCATAAAGTGAGGTAGAAATCCATTCTTCTTCAGGTCATGCCCGAGTTTCCTCTCTCGAATCGTCAATTGATCTCTGATTGACTTGAAACTTGCGCCTATGCTTCACTTTATGTGCTAGGACCTGAAATGGGACAAAGGAACACAACCTAGCATAAAATAGGCCACAACACACGAATATGCCCCTCAAACGGATAAGAACTAGGGGCGCAAACATGTGCAATTACATCGTTATCACCACTATTGAGTGTGCCACCCGTGGTTCGCCGACTTCGCCAATTACTTGGTCGGAAGGCGACTGCCCAAGGGGATGCATACAAATGGGAAAAGAAGTTCCTCTCTTATCTTTGATTCTACTTCTGGGATGATCCCCACCTATTTTGGATTGGGGTCGATGGGGTCATTCGGAGGTGTGTACTGGAGGAGGAGATGACGACAATCCTTAGCCACTGCCACGAGGGACCAGCTGGAGGCAATCATGGTGCCGACTGAACTACAAGGAAGGTGCTTCAATCGAGATTCTATTGGGCGACTCTATTTCGGACGCCTACACATTTGTGAGTCTTTGTGACCGCTGCCAAAGGACAGGTAATGTTTCTAACTGAAATGAGATCCCCCAAATGATTTCCATTACATATGATATTTTTTATGTTTTGGGCATCGACTTTATGGGTCCTTTTCCTTCGTCTTTTGGAAACAAGTACATTCTAGTGGCTGTGGACTACGTCTCGAGGTGGGTCGAAGCTTAGGCTCTCCCCACCAATGATGCAAGATGAATCTACAGATTTCTTAAGAAATTGTTTTCCCGATTTTGGGACCCCGAGGTAGGGGTGGGCATTCGGTCTGTTCGGTTTCGACCGAACCGAAATTATGAATACCTGGTCCCCGAACTCTCCCAAACCTCAAACTGATTTCGAACCGAATTATAATTTGGTTCGGTCGGTTTAAACCAAACTATAATTCGGTTCGGTTTTTCACACAAAACCGAATTTGTGAAGCTACTTGTATTTTCTCACTTTTAAATTATTTTTCACCCCTAATATAAACAATAAATATCAATTATATGCATCATCAATGATAAAACCAAACTTTTCAACACATAAGTCATAAAACATTTCAAATATTTAAGTCTAAAAACAACTACAAACATAAAAATCCACCATTATAGTATTTCGGTTTTTCGGTTGGAAATTTGGTTCGGTTGAAAGAAACCTGATTTCCAAACTATCCATATTTTCCTTCCAAATTCCAAACCGAAAAGCATTAATTCGGCTTCGGTTTCGGTTCGGGTTTACCGAACCCTTTGCCTACAAAACACCAATAGGTGTCTCGCCTTACCAATTGGTGTATGAGAAAGCGTGTCATTTGCCCCTAGATCTAGAGCATAGGGCATTTGGACCCTACTTTGTTTGGAAATGAAAGGAAGTTGCAGGTGCTTGAACTCAAGGAGTGGTGCCTCCGGACCTATGAGAATACCAAGATTTACAAGGAAAAGGCAAAACGCCTGCATGATGTGTGACTGAAAGGAGGAAAGGATTTTCCACCGGGAGAGCAGGTATTCTTGTACAACTTCCGGTTACGCATATTCCCCAGGAAGCTAAGGTCAAAATGGTCGGACACGTATACGGTAACACAAGTGTTCCCATACGGGGTGGTTGAGATCTCCCACCAGAGCGAGGACCTTTCAAAGTGAATGGACATCGCCCCAAACACTACCTTGGAGGAGAGGTAATGCCCCAGAAGGAGGTGGTGTTACTGCAAGATGCCTAGTCCAAAACCTTGGTCTAGCTTAAGACGTTAAATTAGCGCATGTTGGGAGGAAACCCAACGGAGGTTAGTAAGTTTCTCATGTACTACTATCGTATTGTTATGTGTAATAACCTCTCCTCGAGCGAGTATGTGTTTGTGTTTGTTTTTTTCTTCTCCTTGAACCTCCAATCTACTACCCTGTATACAAAATTCCAACTTTCACTCACCAAGCCATGCGGTAACATCGTTCTACCCCTATCTTACGCTATTGAGGGCAATGTCGAGCTAAAGTGTGGGGGTAGTTTATTATTATGCTTGTGTGAGTGTGATTGAATACTTGGAGCCCTGATGTATGCCCAAATTTGAAAAATTTGACGGCTCCAAGCAATGTTTGCATGATCAAAGTGGCCGGTTTGTGGGAGAATCTCGTGTTTATTGGCATTAACCTTGAATCGTTGCATGTGATCGAGTGTGTCCTATGATGATGACTGAGAGGTGTATTAGGATAGTGCAAAGTTTTCATACTCATGTGTGCAAAAATGAATGGTTGTCTTAACTCGATTACTTGTTGATTACAATTGCCATGCATTGTGTTTTGTGAATTGGAATAGATGGTTGGATGACTAGGTAGCCATGTGAGTTTCAAGCCAATCGTTTTCTTCTTGTGTGCTTAGATCCCTCTTACCATGGAGAGTAACATCATTGTTGTCGCTAGTGAGTATGATGGAGGCATAGGGTTGGTCCACGCCCAAATGTTGATAGTCCCGAAATATTCTATCGCTAGTCAACCTCTTTGAGCCTTGTGACTTTGGGGGTCGTTCTCTTGTAGGAGCTTTTTGCTCGTGAGCTTAATGGTGTTTGATAGAAAGACCCCCATCCTTTCTTTGTGTCTATACGTGAGTTTTCCATGTGTCCTGGAGCTCGTGCTCAGGAGCTCCATTAAGGTTCTACATAGGAGGATTTGGTGCGGTTCTTGCTAGGAATGAAAGAGAGAAGAGTAGTGTTGGAGTAAGTTCTTAAAAGAGAGCATTGGTTGTTAAATGTAATGTGGCAAGTGTTTTGCTCTCTAGGACCCCCCTCAAAAGAAAATACAAGACAAGAAAAGAGAAAAGGGAAGAAAAATAATCGAAAAAGAGGTAATAAAGCAGGGTATATTAAGTAGAGGGTGCCACGAAAATCAAAGTGTATGCTCTAGGAAGGGTTTCTTGGAACTCAAGCCATTGAAACACCCACATTGTTGTTCAACTCCTTCATTACTATGTCCAAAATGTGATAGCAAGAGTAGGCCGAGGAAGTGTGCTTGAACGTGGTTCATGATGGGTGCTAGTTTGGAAGGGAGAAGTAAGGTTTTTGGCCGAAACTAGTGGCCATTGTTTGTAGGGAAGGTTCTAAGTCGAAGCCATAGAACCTTCAGTTTTAAGGTGAAGATCTAGGACCTTGTGTTGTGTTTGTCACCACCCAAAAAGTCTTTTCCCCGTGTCCAAGACGATTGCAGTCATTTGAACCCGTGTCTAAGACCTCCGGACAAGCTAGTGATGACAACCATCCCGTGAACTCTAGCATTTAGAGGTTGCCTCTATGGTGAAGAAACATTAGGGCCAAGAGTTGATGATTGTGCACATTTTTTGCACCAAATAGTCCCGACCCCACTGGTCAATAGAGTGAGTGATTCATTCTTGCTTTGCATGTCATATCATACCCCGGTGAGGACCTTTGTTGCCCATTCGATCATTCCTTGGACTTGAATGTTATTCATGGTTAGTTTTGGTTGATGAGTGATCTTGTTGAGACTTGCATTGATTCATGAATAAGGTGAGAACTTTTTGTTTGTCGGTATCACTTGCAACAGTCCATCTGTTAATTGCCAATAGCCAAATATATTGGCCACTTTGAGCCCTTTAATTTGTCCCCAAGTTATTTTGTTAGCTTGAGATATTATCTTGTGTGAAATGGTTTGCTTGGGGACATGCAAACGTCTAAGTGTAGGGGGGTGATTCAGGCCTAAATGTACACTTTTATCCCCATTTCTCTTTGGCGTTTATGGCATTTGTGCTCCACAAAGAATGGTTTTACGCTAGGTTTGCTGTGTTTCAATGTGTTTTAGAGTCTAACAGGTGTAACCAACCCCGAAGTCGAAAGTTCGAAGAAATGGTGCGAGGACCGGGTAAGGAGGAGGAAACAGCTGCTGTTCACGGTCGCCAGGACCGTGAACTGAAGCCACAAACCGCAAACAGAAGGGTGTCCAGAGAGGTTTCAGAAGTTACTGAAGCCATGGACCGCGAACTCAACAAATGAAAGTGGTGCATTTTGGCTGTGTTGACGGTCCATGATGCAAACATTTGAGCAAAAAAGAGTTTCCCACGCTTCAAAGAGAGGCTCGTGGGTGAAATGTATCTAGAAAAGAACTTTTCACACAGTTCCATCCATAAAGTAATCGAATGGTGAGGATGGTTGTTCAACAAAATATTGGCCGCGCCACTAAGGGAGAACGAGAAGAGATTCACGTGGATTGCTTCTGGTGGAACCTTGTTGATCTTTATCATATTCGGTAGTTGCAAGAATGTCTTCACATGGGTGTGTGCGTCCTTATTCTTTAACCCGTGGAATTTGATCACGCCGGCCTTTATCTCAAAATTGTTGTTTGGGACCGGAGGATGAAGTATAAATGATTGCACATTGTCCACAATATGCCTAGTTTAGGACACCATGGTTCTTACTGGAACTCTCGGGTGCTACTCTTGTTCGTCCATGTGGTGTTGTGTTTCTTCTTGCTCTTTCCCTATTCTTGTTCATCTCGAACCTCAGAGTGTCCTCTCAATCTTTTTATCTAACGGTACTAGATTAATGGGATTCCTTATTTGCATATAATAGGCTATATACAAGAAACTTGCACACTTGTGACAAACATAGTGAAACAAAACAAAAATAAATAACTACAAAATTAAAAAAAAGAGTACAATGCAAAAAAGTAAATAACTAAATATACAATTTCACTCAATTCGGCTAGTGACAAATCTCATTCCCTAGAAAAGTGCCAAGAACTTGATGCGCGAACGATTGCTCACACACACAAGTTATAAACTCGGTCCACTTCTACTCCACTACC